TTATTATTACATTCTTAACGGCCCGTCAACACATACAAGGTCAAGGGCCATCAACCGGTAAAACACACGGCAATCCAAAAGGAAATAACATTAAACAAACCAAAAGGTAAAAGACAAATGTTAAAAATCTTAAATGAGTATGTTAACACAAAGGTTAAAATGGTACGTCATAGTCAATAATATAGACCAACATCTTTCAGGTAATGTTGAATTTTACAAATCTCAACAGTTTCAAAAAGGGATTTTAGACATGTGATGTTACGATAAAAACGTTCTCAAGTAGACAGAAGGTCACTGCAGTCCAATAAAAATGATTGACGGTGAATGGCTCATCAAATCCTGTGCACCAAGGATTATCTTCGCCTTTCAACATATATGAATGTGTTAGGTATGTATGACCCATCCGAAGATGGACAAGGACACCTTCGTGGCGGTGGTTGTCCCTATAGCCTGGAGACCATTCACCAATAACAGGTTTAACGATGTGCAATTTGTTCTTGGTATAGGTATTCCAATCCTCCTGCCACTGAGCTTTTAAAATTTGTGTAATAAATGATATAAAATCGGTAAAATGAAGTTTAAAAACAAAAGGTGGTAGTGATAAAGCTTCCTTTGCGGCAGGATCTGCTTTTTGATAACTTGGTATCCCATGTTCCCAGGAATCCAACAAAAAGCAATACGAAAGTTAAAAGCAAGTTTATGATATAGCATTAAGTTATTACGAATGAAAATATTTTCGATATTTCTATTGCTAAGAGTTTGTAGAACAGAAAGAGAGTCCGAATGGATAACAGCTCTCATTACTTTGTTTCTGTGAATATATTCAAGGGCGAGGTAGATAGCTCGCGCTTCCGCCGAGAATATTGAGGCGTTTTTCGGTAGCCGGTATCCATAGGTTTAATCTTGTGTAACCATGGCCGCAGCAACCTTATCATTATCTTTTGAACCATCAGTATATAAATGTAGAAATGTTTCATATTTTAACTGCAATTTCGAGAAGGATGAACGAAAGGTGTAACTGTGTCTGATGAAGAGAAAAGTCAACTTCATGTGAATTCATGAGCCATGGTGGAATTTCTATCGTTCCAAATGACTGAATTTGGTTAACATCAATATTTGTGTTTTGTAAAAGAGCAAAAATTCGAATACCAAATGATGGAATGGTTTTTGGTTTGCCTTGAAACAAGATTTTATATTTTGGATCAAATACAGGGGAGAAAAGCAGGATTTGAAGGATTTGACTTAAGCTGTATGGTATATTGCAAAGTCAATTTATTTCGACAGCTCGATAGTGGTGGTTCGTTAGCCTCTACATAGAAGCTAGCTGTAGGTGTGGTCTTAAAAGCTCCGAGAGCGAGCCTGAGACCTTGGTGATGAACAGTGTCTAATAATTTTAAATATGAAGGTCTAGCTGATGCATACACAATGGAACCGTAGTCCAAATTTGACCTAACAAGGGCTATATAGAGTCTTAGCAAAACTTTTCTTTCGGCTCCACAATTAGTATGGGACACAACCTTTAGAATATTCCGTGCCTTAAGGCATTAGGGGTTAAGGTATTTTATGTGTTTAAGGAAAATTTATTGTCGAATATTACACCTAAGAATTTCGTTTGCTCAACAACCGGGGTGGGTGCACCACAGAGAGACATGTTTGTATCGTCGTGTTGCACACAAACTGTTTTTGATTGTGAAAATTTAAAAACCATTTTCATCTGCCCAAATTTGTAGTCGATTCAAACATTGTCGCTGTCTTTCGATGGTATCCATATGCTTAGATCGAAAGCATATAATGAAGTCATTGCAATAAAGAGCGCCTCCCAGTCAACATAACATTTTTATTGGACTGCATTAACCTTCTGTCTACTCGAGAATATTTTTATCGTAACATTACATGTCCAAAAAAACCCTTTTTGAAACTGTTGAAAATTGTAAAATTCAGGGTTACCTGAAATATGTTGGAATATATAATAGACTATGACGTACCATTTTAATCTTTTGTGTTAATATACCAATTTAATATTTTTTAGCATTTGTCTTTTTACCTTTTAGTTTATTTAATGTTGTTTCTTTTTGGATCGCTGTGTGTTTTTACCGGGTGATGGCCCTATTGACCTTTTATGTGATGACGGGCTGTTATGAATGTCATAATAATAATGATAACTACGCTGATGACACTGTGCTATTTGCAGAAAACTTACAAAGAGCTTTAAATGTCTTAAAGCAATATTAGGAAGTTTGGAAGCTTACAATAAATGTAAATAGAACAAATGTCATTATATTTCGTTCGCAAAAATAAATACTATTATGTATTTGCATTGCAAAATGATTGGGGGAAATTTTCGAAATTGTAAATTTCCTTATTTATGAATAATGTTTGATTACAACGTGTATTTTTAATATTTTTGTTACTAATATAATATACATGAAAGGACTAGTCAGTGTAAGGCTGCAGGAGTTATTCTCCTTATAAATAACACTACTTCAAGCCTCTCTGTACCTCGGATGCTCTGGAATAAAATACATGTCGTAGATTTTTGGATTTTGTCGACTTATGGCACTTCTAGATGCAGTCTGTGAATGTTACATGATGTCAGAATCCACCATATCGGTAATTCAGTTCGATCAGCCACGTCTAAATTGGGTAGTCGAAGATCGGTACCAAGAATTTCGTCGGTTTCGACAACACGTGGAGTTTTGCCTCAAAGTCCTGCTCGCCAAGGCGAAAACTGCTGACTGAGCAGGTTGGATTGGTTTGAATATTGGCCTTAGTGGACGAGAGGTATTTAAAACGTTCGCATGAAGAGAACATGAACGAGATGACCCAGATCAAATTCTAGATAAGTTAGGTGCGTATATCACACCACCGTAAAACAAAAGAATAACATGTTTCAGACTGCATCAGAGGAAACAAGCCGAGACATTTGATAAAATCGTCAAAGATCGAAAATTACTGGGTATGGATTGTGCGTACACACATAGTGATGATGTGTTGATTGATCTGATTATTGTGGGCGTAAAACACAAGCAAGTAAAAGAGCGTTTACTCGATGTAGATTAAGTGATACAAAGAGGTTCGCCATTTGAAATTTTACAAGCCCAGGTTCAAATAATTAGAGGTGCAGAAATACTAGAAATGAACACAAAAGACCCCCAACTACAAGAACTAGCAAATTTGACAGTTCAGGAACACCATTCAAAGCATATAGAATATATATTGGGAAGGTTAGTGCTATTCTTGGAATGCCTACACCTGGAGACAAGAAGAGGATTCGTAGATTCTTGGAATTAGTTCAGTATTTATCTAAATATATTCCCAAATCTTATCCAAATAGATGCACCCCAGAGAATTCTTCAGTCAGACAGAGAGTTTCAGTGGTATAATGATCAGGACGACATCTACAATGTTCGGAAACCCGTCGAAATGGAGTGTGATGCAAGCAATGACGATGTGGGAGCAGTCCTGATGCAAAAGGGTAGAGTGATAGCTTATGCCTCTATATCACTAACAGAGACTGAAGAGGTATACTCAAATCGAGAAAGAAATGCTTGCTTTTGTGTACAGTAGTAGTAAGCAAAACCTTACTGGGATTCAAGAGATCAACTCTCGGTTTTTCTTTATAAAGGCAGCAGAATTGACCTTCCTCCTAACATGAGGAAAGATATGCTAAGTCTCGCTCACAAATCACACCTTGAAAGTGCAAGATGTAAAAACCGCGCTAAAGAGGATATGTATTGGCATATATAAAAGGTCAGTTGAGCCATGGAGATAAGCTGGAGGAACTTGGCACGATTCCAAACATAGAAACCCTAAACAATATGGCAACGTCAGCAGAAAATAAGAGCAACATTCAATGTTCTCGAATTAGACTTGTAAATATATAACATAATGTACTAATAATATATTGATAATAGTGTTATGTAGGTTAGAGAGTAGTGACATTTCCAGCCATTTATTTATGCTGCCTCATCACTTTGAAAAGGCCACAAAAATCTCTGCTGTTTGTCAGAACAAGAGTTCTGAGTCGCTGGTAGTTTGTTATTTGAAATGCTATAGTTTATTCTTTTATACTGAGAGTTATTTCTATGATATTTACGAAGTTCGCGTGACTACTGAATCCAAAAAATTTATAATGACTTTATTAAAAAAACAATACAAGGTTAATGATTCAAACATCCTTTATTCATAATCTGATCTGTTGATTTATATGCATCTTTTTTTTTCAGAAAATAAAAATACGGGTTGTACATTTTATAGCTGTTCTTCTTAAAGTAAAAGGCGATGTAATATATATGTAAGGACTAGTTAGTGTCAGGAGTTATCCCCCTTGTAATTATCACTACATCAAACGTCTCCGATGCTCTGGACAAAAAAGCATGTCAAAGCATGTTGTCCAGTGTTTCCAGATTATGTCGACATATACCAAACAAAGTTACATATAATTATATACTAAGATATATACATAATTGTCACAATCGGATATTGAGATTCCAGCTTGATCCTTTTATGCTAAACTGCTAATAGCACCAATACCTTTACAAGATTCTAACAAGCACTAGGAGTTCCAGGTTAAAACAATATTACCAATAAAAACAATATTATTTTCAGCAACATACATTACGTCAGTTAACACCTTCCAATTCTTTACTGCACAACGTAAGCTATGGAAATTTATCAATGTTTTATATCAAAAAAAACTATGTGCAAGCTTGATACAACAAAGAGTGTCACGTGACTCATTATTTCAGTGATATATCTTTTTGTTAATTACATCAATTATTTATATAATAATTATTAGCGATTTGTTAATCTACCATTGCACCAATTTGCCAGAAAGTGAATATGCGTTAAAAGTATGGCAAATAAAATACGTTTACAGTAAATGCTTGAAAGCGCTTGTTCTTGTTCCAAGGTCGGCCCCATGGTCCACAAATGTAGACTCACTTCGATATCTGATAGATATGTCCATAATGGAAGTTAAGAATACTGCAGTAGAATCATTACATTTTAAATACTTTGATTGTTCTTTTATCTACTTCCGATAGCGTGTTTTTATGTTGAGAAACACAAATGATCCTTTGTGCAGTAGATGCATACAATTTCCAAGGGAACACTAAACCAGCATTGCGGTAAGTTTTCAAGTCGTCTCCATTGCAAAGTAAACTGAAAATTTTTTCCGAATCCCATGACGTCACCATAATCTCAGATCCAAAGGAACACACACCAGTGCTGAAACCGACACGCCCATCGCTAACTTTCCAGAGTGTAGTTCCGTCAAAATCCAGACACCTGATATGCGGGTTATTAAAGGATAGGTCAGTTATAAAAACCTTTTTCTCTAAAGACGTCATTGTAATGTAGGTGAACTTAGCGGTTTCGTAACATTCATCTAAAATAATAGACCAAAACTCACTATCAGTTTCAAAAATTTGTAAATCAGAGTACGAGCATATGGCGACATATATTCCATCTGATGCAGCCGCCTTACATGTGATATTAGTCTTTAATGTTGGTCCTTTTTCGATAACACCATTCTGAAGTACTTCGCATTTCAGCAGTTGCTGTGTATCCGGAAGTGACACTATTACGGAATCGTGAATCAACGAAATAGATACTACGTCATAAGGTGCCGGATTGATGTTGGTTTTGCAAAGAAAACGATGGGATGAGTTAAATACAGACATGACTTTATTTGTATGATCAACAAGAAGCAGTTTTCCCGATGGTAAAATCGTTATCCCGGTTATCCATGACGGTTTTCCTTGGAATGGAAGTTCTATTGTTTGTACATTTGTCTCCGGTTGTTTGGGTCTGTTTTGATCGGAGGATTGTGTTCTCTTCCTTGCTAAATCTTTAACTTCTTTGTCTAGTGTAAGCAACTCATCTAATTTAATCTTCATTGATTTGACTTTATCTCGCATGCACTGCTCTGATTGATGAAGAAAATCAAAACTATAATTTCTTCTGTCTACTATGCCCTCCATTAAAGTGCATTGCTGATGAAGTCTCTTTAAGTTAGCGTCGTCTTGATTCGAGGATTCGTTAGAGCTTGGTTCTGTCTTATGATCACCAGTGCGTGCATCCGGAGGGTTGGTGACAATACAGCACTGTCTATGTTGATGACAACATAGGGAACATAAAGGTTGGTCATGCTCCATACAGTAAAAGTCGAGCTCCATTTCAGGGTGGTTTTCGCAGGTTTCCAAACATTTGTTTGTTTGTTTATATGAATCAATCATCGACTTCATCGCGTGGTTATTTTCAAGATGCTCTGCCCACTCTTCCGGATTGCGTCTGACATGCGCAGGGACAGAAACTTGACGACGGCAAATTGGGCACGGGAATTCTTTTCTCCGATTTTGGGAGCTTTTCCTCACAATATGTTGGGCTATACATTTCTTACAGAAAGTATGCAGGCATGGTAATGCTTTTGGTTCTTCAAATATTTCCAGACATATTGTACAAACAATCTGATCTTCTACTGTTTTCAAAATAGCTGTTGCCATGGTGATTTCAATGTTGATGACGTGCTCCCAGTCTGAAATATAATTGTACATTGATTAGAGGCATTACCAAAAATAGGAATATTGAGAAACTGAAATAATTTTTCAGTTACCTAGAACTCGTTACTGATGAAAGATTTAATTATATTTCTCTGTTTTTATATACTAAACAAAAAAAGAAAGGTAACACTATTTTATTCTGTGATTAAGTAATTAACCCCTTCATAAATAAAGGCGTTGGGGTCAATTTCAAAGGTAACACCATTAGTAACGGGTATGGCCACCGTTTGCGAAGTAAACAGCATTGCAGCGTCGTCGAATGGAACTCGTAAACCGGCGGATAATTCGAGGAGAGATGTTGTTCCATTCAGCGATCAAGGCTTGGGCCATCTCCTGCAAGTTTGACGGCTGATTTTGACGTTCTCTCACGTGTCGCCCAAGAACGTCCCAGACATGCTCAATCGGTGACAAATCAGGTGATTTAGATGGCAAATCTAACACCTGTACGTTATTCTGCCGCAAGAAAGTTCTGCTGACGCGACTGGTGTGCGCTGGTGCGTTATCCTGTTGAAAAATGGCGCCAACGCCATGGCGTCTTAAGAATGGCAGAACCACTGGTCTTAAAATTTCGTCCCGATATCGAATGCCGGTTAAATTGCCATTTAACACAACATGCCTGGTACGAGTCCCCCCACAAATACCACCCCAAACCATTACACTTCCGCCGCCAAAGCGATCCCGTTTTGCGACGCAGCAGTTCGCAAAACACTCCCCTCGTCGCCTCCACACTCCGCGCCTTCCGTCACCGTGTTGCAGACAAAACCTGGACTCATCTGAAAACAGAACATTGTTCCATTGTCGTAAGGCCCAACGACGGTGAACACGGGTCCAGTTACGCCGATTATTACGGTGACGTCGCAACAAATTGGGTCCAGTGTAGGGACGCCGCGCTTTCAACTGGTAGGCCCTCAACCTGTTGCGGACTGTTTGGGGAGACACACGACGCCCAAACAATGTTCTTGTAGTCTCTACTGCGGTTACGAATCGATTGCGCAAGTGTATCAATCGTATACGACGGTCATCCCTGGCGGTCGTTTTACGGGGTCGGCCGCTTCGGGGACGATCCGATGTTGACCCAGTTTGGTTTAAACGACCTACCAACAGGCAAATTGTCTTAACATTGCTTCCAAAATGCCCTGCAACTCGACGGCGAGACTCCCCAGCCTGGATCATGCCTACAGCCCTTTCTCTCTGTACTTGTGACAGCCGGGGCATAATGATAAAGTTGATAGATAGCAAGATTCGGTGATTTCTAAGTCCTTTTTTTTTGTTGAGTATATATGATGTCAATTAATCAGTATTTCTGAAAGAATTTAGTTATGATGACTTCATTGCAATGATTCCGAACACGTGAAGTCCACTTACAAACAGGTATAGTGGAATATCAAAATTAAAGTTCCGCAGGAAAATGAGGAGTCCCAAAAAAAATCAAATAATAATTACTCAAACGAATTTAATGTAACCACATCAGATATTATAAGCGATATTCACAAGAAAATCATATAGGAAACGAACTGTATGAAACTAAATCAAAGTATTTCTGTAAATCGCATGAGCTAGTTCCCGCTAATTAGAGATTAAATAATGTCATGATGACAGATACAAGTCCACAGCAGATGTTTAAATCTGCATATAAGTCATACATATATGACATAATTCCTCATGGCTTTGGAATAGTAGATACAGACTCAGAAATGTCTCACCGCGTTGAACGTCTTCACTGCCAAATAGTTCAAAAAGGACCCTGAATGTGCACCAGCTATAGTTTAACCTTATAACTAGGAACCTCAATGTCCACCAACTATAGTGTAACCTTATAACTAAGACCCTCAATGTCCACCAACTATAGTGTAACCTTAAAACTAGGACCCTGAATGTCCTACATTATAGTGTAACCTTATAACTAGGAACCTGAATGTCCGCCAGCTATAGTGTAACCTTATAACTAGGACCCTGAATGTCCACCACCTATAGTGTAACATTATAACTAGGAACATGAATGTCCACCAACTATAGTGTAACCTTATAACTAGAACCCTCAACATCCACCACCTATAGTGTAACATTATAACTAGGAACATGAATGTCCACCAGCTATAGTGTAACCTTATACCTAGGAACCTGAATGTCCACCAGCTATAGTGTAAACTTATAACTAGGAACCTGAATATCCACCAACTATAGTGTGACCTAATAACTAAGACCTAATAACTAAGACCCTGAGTATCCACCAACTATAGTGTAACCTTATAACTAAGACCATGAATGTCCACCAGCTATAGTGTAACCTTATAACTAGCTATAGTGTAACCTTATAACTAGGAACCTCAATGTCCACCAACTATAGTTTAACCTTATAACTAGGACCCTGAATGTCCAACAGCTGTAGTGTAACCTTATAACTAGGAACCTGAAAGTCCACCAGCTATAGTGTAACCTTATAACTAGGAACCTCAATGTCCACCAGCTATAGTGTAACCTTATAACTAGGAACCTGAAAGTCCACCAGCTATAGTGTAACCTTATAACTAGGACCCTCAATATCCACCAACTATAGTGTAACCTTATAACTAGGACCCTGAATGTCCACCAGCTATAGTGTAACCTTATAACTAGGAACCTGAATGTCCACCAGCTATAGTGTAACCTTATAACTAGGACCCTGAATGTCCACCAACTATAGTGTAACCTTATAACTAGGAACCTGAATGTCCACCAGCTATAATGTAACTTTATAACTAGGAACCTGAATGTCCACCAATTAAAGTGTAACCTTATAACTAGGACCATGAATGTCCACCAGCTATAGTGTAACCTTATAACTACAACCCTCAATGTCAAGCACCTATAGTGTAACATTATAACTAGGAACATGAATGTCCACCAACTATAGTGTAACATTATAACTAGGAGCCTGAAAGTCCACCAGCTATAGTGTAACCTTATAACTATAGTGTAACCTTATAACTAGGAACCTGAATGTCCACCAGCTATAGTGTAACCTTATAACTAGGACCCTCAATATCCACCAACTATAGTGTAACCTTATAACTAGGAACCTGAATGTCCACCAACTATAGTGTAACCTTATAACTAGGAACCTGAATGTCCACCAACTATAGTGTAACCTTATAACTAGGACCCTGAATGTCCACCAGCTATAGTGTAACCTTATAACTAGGAACCTGAATGTCCACCATCTATAGTGTAACCTTATAACTAGGAACCTGAATGTCCACCAACTATAGTGTAACCTTATAACTAGGAAGCTGAAAGTCCACCAGCTATAGTGTAACCTTATAACTAGGAACCTGAATGTCCACCAGCTATAATGTAACTTTATACCTAGGAACCTGATTGTCCACCAGCTATAATGTAACCTTATAACTAGGACCCTGAATGTCCACCAACTATAGTGTAACTTTATAACTAGGACCCTGAATGTCCACCAGCTATAGTGTAACCTTATAACTAGGAACCTGAAAGTCCACCAGCTATAGTGTATAGTGTAACCTTATAACTAGGAACCTGAATGTCCACCATCTATAGTGTAACCTTATAACTACGACCCTGAATGTCCACCAGCTATAGTGTAACCTTATAACTAGGACCCTGAATGTCCACCAACTATAGTGTAACCTTATAACTAGAAACCTGAATACCCACCAACTATAGTGTAACCTTATAACTAGGACCCTGAATGTCCTACATTATAGTGTAACTTCATACCTAGGAACCTGAATGTCCACCAGCTATAGTGTAACCTTATACCTAGGACCCTGAATGTCCACCAGCTATAGTGTAAACTTATAACTACGAACCTGAATATCCACCAACTATAGTGTAACCTTTTAACTAGGACCCTGAATGTCCAAAAACTATAGTGTAACCTTATAACTAGGAACCTGAATGTCCATCAGCTATAATGTAACCTTTTAACGAGGAACCTGTAAGTCCACCAACTATAGTGTTACCTTGTAACTATAGTGTAACCTTATAACTAGGAACCTGAAAGTCCACCAGCTATAGTGTAACCTTATAACTAGGACCCTCAATATCCACCAACTATAGTGTAACCTTTTAACTAGGAACCTGAATGTCCACCAACTGTAGTGTAACCATATAACTAGGAACCTGAATGTCCACCAACTATAGTGTAACCTTATAACTAGGAACCTGAATGTCCACCAACTATAGTGTAACCTTATAACTAGGACCCTGAATGTCCAACAGCTATAGTGTAACCTTATAACTAGGAACCTGAATGTCCATCAGCTATAATGTAACTTTATAACTAGGAACCTGTAAGTCCACCAACTATAGTGTAACCTTATAACTAGGACCCTGAATGTCCAACAGCTGTAGTGTAACCTTATAACTAGGAACCTGAAAGTCCACCAGCTAAAGTGTAACCTTAAAACTAGGAACCTCAATGTCCACCAGCTATAGTGTAACCTTATAACTAGGACCCTCAATATCCACCAACTATAGTGTAACCTTATAACTAGGAACCTGAATGTCCACCAACTATAGTGTAACCTTATAACTAGGAACCTGAATGTCCACCAACTATAGTGTAACCTTATAACTAGGACCCTGAATGTCCAACAGCTATAGTGTAACCTTATAACTAGGAACCTGAATGTCCACCAACTATAGTGTAACCTTATAACTAGGAAGCTGAAAGTCCACCAGCTATAGTGTAACCTTATAACTAGGAACCTGAATGTCCATCAGCTATAATGTAACTTTATAACTAGGAACCTGTAAGTCCACCAACTATAGTGTTACCTTGTAACTAGGACCCGGAATGTCCAACTATAATGTTAACTTTTAACTAGGAGGCTGAATGTCCACAAACTGTAGTGTAACTTTATAACTAGGACAATGAATGTCCACCAGCTATAGTCTAACCTTATCCCTACAACCCTGAATGTCCTGCA